GTACATACCAACGCTCCAGCCCACGTGGCCTCAGTATTAGAGACTACCGGAACATACCAACGCCCTGACCTACGTGGCCTCAGTATATTAGACACTATCGGTACATACCAACGCTCCAACCCACGTGGCCACAGTATATTAGACACTATCGGTACTTACCAACGCTCCAGCCCACGTGGCTTCAGTATTAGACACTACGTGGCCTCAGTATTAGACACTACTGGAACATACCAACGCCCTGACCCACGTGTCCTCAGTATATTAGACACTTTCGGTACATCCCAACGCTCCAGCCCACGTGGCCACAGTACATTAGACATGGCCTCAGTATTAGACACTACCGGAACATACCAAAGCCCTGACCCACGTGGCCTCAGTATATTAGACACTATCGGTACATACCAACGCCCTGACCCACGTGGCCTCAGTATATTAGACACTTTCGGTACATACCAACGCTCCAGCCCACGTGGCCACAGTACATTAGACACTATCGGTGCATACCAACTCTCCAGCCCAGGAGGCTTCAGTATTAGACTCTATCGATACATACCAACGCTCCAGCCCACATGGCCACAGTATATTAGACACTATCGGTACATACCAAAGTTCCAGCCCACGTGACTTCAGTATTAGACACTACCGGTACATACCAACGCTCCAGCCCACGTGGCTTCAGTATTAGACACTATCGATACATTCCAACGCTCCACCCCACGTGGCTTCAGTATTAGACACTACCGGTACATACCAACACTCCAGCCCATCTGGCCTCAGTATATTAGACACATAGAGACATTCCAACGCTCCAACCCAAGTGGCTTCAGTATTAGACACTACCGATACATACCAACGCTCCAGACCACGAGGCCTCAGTATATTAGACGCTATCGGTACATACCAACGCTCCAGCCCACGTGGCTTCAGTATTAGCCTCTACCGGTACATACCAACGCTCCAGCCCAGGAGGCTTCAGTATTAGACACTATCGATACATTCCAACGCTCCAGCCCACGTGGCTTCAGTATTAGACACTACCGATACATACCAACGCTCCAGCCCACGTGGCCTCAGTATTAGACACTACCGGTACATACCAACGCTCCAGCCCAATTGGCTTCAGTATTAGACACTACCGGTACATACCAACGTACCGGTACATACCAACGCTCCAGCCCACGTGGCCTCAGTATATACCAACGCTCCAGTACACATTGCTTCATTATTAGCCACTACCGGTACATACCAACGCTCCAGCCCACGTGGCCTCGGTATTAGACACTTCCGGAACATACCAACGCTCCGGCCCACGTGGCATCAGTATTAGACACTACTGGTACATACCCACGCTCCAGTACACATTGCTTCATTATTAGACAGTACCGGTACATACCAACGCTCCAGCCCACGTGGCTTCAGTATTAGCCTCTACCGGTACATACCAACGCTCCAGCCCAGGAGGCTTCAGTATTAGACACTATCGATACATTCCAACGCTCCAGCCCACGTGGCTTCAGTATTAGCCTCTACCGGTACATACCAACGCTCCAGCCCAGGAGGCTTCAGTATTAGACACTATCGATACATTCCAACGCTCCACCCCACGTGGCTTCAGTATTAAACACTACCGGTACATACCAACACTCCAGCCCATCTGGCCTCAGTTTATTAGACACATAGAGACATTCCAACGCTCCAACTCAAGTGGCTTCAGTATTAGACACTACCGATACATACCAACGCCCCAGACCACGTGGCCTCAGCGGTATTAGACACTTCCGGAACATACCAACGCCCCGGCCCACGTGGCATCAGTATATTAGACACTACCGGTACATACCAACGCTCCAGCCCACGTGGCCTCGGTATTAGACACTTCCGGAACATACCAACGCCCCGGCCCACGTGGCATCAGTATTAGACACTACTGGTACATACCAACGCTCCAGTACACATTGCTTCATTATTAGACACTACCGGTACATACCAACGCTCCAGCCCACGTGGCCTCAGTATTAGACACATAGAGACATCCGTCGTCATTGGCCTGGAAGCCTGGAGGACAGTCGTCTACGGAAAAAAAGTTAGAAATAGGACATGGTTTCATATTTGTTATAGCCACAATTCTGTCACCGGAAACATACATTGTAGTCACAAAGGACGATACGAGTGTCGTTCCTATTAATCTTCCTGAAAATTCACTTAAACGCTATTCGTTGAATGACTGAATGAATGAATGAATGAATCGCAGCCTCCACATACGCAGATAAAATCTAAAAACAAAGTTCGCGTGATAAGTAAAGTATTGGAACCTACAACAGTCAACAAGTGACACAAAACAATCTAAAACATTGCCAACCAGTTTAAGATTGCTGTATATACTGAACACTCACAGTTTAAACCCAGGTCATTTATGATTACCACAACATTCTCTCAACAAAGACTGATCCATTCTGAGGTTTATGCTACTGCTTAGTTGTTCAATTTCGCGGGGCTAATATGTTACGATTGTCCAGATCAGATCTAGCTCGTTGGGATAACACTTCGCGCAACATTGACAGTGGTTTTTTTGCGCTCAAGAGAGTACTTTTGGGTGATGGGATTTATTTTGCAAGCATTTCATCAAAAGAACGTTTTGTCTCCAATATTTGGCAGTAAAAGGGTATTCAATCATGGTATTAATATTCGCTTGGTACTTGGTACTTCGCGCTGTCTTAAACCCCCGTGAAAATGACCGACTATACAGAACTAATGACAGACTCTGTAGCGACCAATCACTAGTGTGACAGACTCTGTAGCTACCAATCACTAGTGTGACAGACTCTGTAGCGACCAATCACTAGTGTGATAGACTCTGTAGCCACCAATCACTAGTGTGACAGACTCTGTAGCGATCAATCATCAGTGCTGTAGTTACCGTAGTTAGCAATCCTCTAACTAGCCGCTAGGATTGTTATAGAGTCTGGTAGTGACGTATTGCCATACAATATAGATTTACATCAAGATTGAAGTTAAGTAAATGAAGAATGTTGCATTTCATTTTTAAATTCTGTGGCATAAATGGAAGATGTATGTAGTTTTCTAAATGGTTGTTGTTATTCAATGACAAAACTCATCAATATTTTTACAAGTAAATGAACGGATTGGTCAAAGATAGTATACTGTCTTTAACAGCCCTCCTTTGCAGACTTATTATTTCATTAACATGATCGATTTTCAATTCTTCAAATTTATTGTGTGAACAAAGGAATCACATAGCTAGTGTACCGTACAGGAGTATGAATGTATATGTGTACAAGTTTTCTGGTTTCTCATTACCCATTGTTCATGTAACATGTATTATAAAAATTGAATACATCACTCATTCGTGTTATAGTAACAACGTGAATACCTGTTAAGGAGGGGAGGATGGGGAAAGGGTACCAATTTGATTGGTCAGATCGGACGACGTACGTATCGGATATGCCTGAGGTGTTAGTAAACCACCGTAACAGATTGTACAGAGTTAGCGATATCAATATATTCACGTCTAAATCAATGTATTCCTTGACCACAAATATGTATCCACATACACTTGTTGCCTTGGTATATTAAAGCTGTACTTACCTTGTGCAAAAACCTGAAAAATCAGTGTCAAAGCTACAACCAGAAAATGGAGTGCCATAGTCTGCCTGAGTGAAAGAATAAATGTGGCGAGGATATAGATATACACCTATCTCAACATCTAATCCATAACAGAAAAAAATAAACATGTTTCGAAAACTTGTCTTTCTTAGTTCTAGTTTCTTGTTTTATTTTGATTTACTTTTAAATTGATAGGAAAATTTGTAAGTTGATTCTTAATTAATGAAATGATATAAATGAAAGAAATTATTATATGAACATTGTCTGATGCCTGATAAGATATAAGGTGCCAGTAACAACCCTTCGGGGCCGCGCTCCATGACATCTGGAAATATTCCCAGACTGATTAACTTACCTATAGCTGACAATCACGTGGTATGTAATTGTCAAATTTGCCAAATTCACATTTCGTACAAGATATTTTATTTTCTCGTGTTAACGATTTATATATTATACGCAATTTTTAGCATTTACTATAACAAGTAAACATGTTGTACTTATACATGTGCACTTGTTAACCAAACAAAAACGTATATCAATATGCACTCCTCCATATTGTGGAAATAACTACTATGGAATACAGGGGTGAATGTGACAGCTGTTTTGGTACCGTCTGGTTGCTTCAATCACTATCGTCTGACGCCGAATTTTGACATTTTGAGGCATCCTTTAATCTATTTAAATCTGTTTATGTAGTTTGCAATGCGTATCTTTAAAATAAAATCTGGAGCAGTATTCGACGAGAAAATATCGACACGTATTTAACGCGAAATGTAGTCCGAAGAGCTGTTATGTCTGTGAGCCGTGTAGTCTGAAGAGCTGTTATGTATGTAGGCCTTGTAGTCTGAAGAGCTGTTATGTCTGTAAGCCATGTAGTCTGAAGAGCTGTTATGTCTGTAGGCCGTGCAGTCTGTCTGTAGGCCGTGTAGTCTGAAGAGCTGTTATGTCTATAGGCCGTGTAGTCTGAAGAGCTGTTATGTCTGTAGGCCGTGTGGTCTGAAGAGCTGTTATGTATGTAGGCGATCTGGTATGTCTGTAGGCCGTGTAGGCTGAAGAGCTGTTATGTCTATAGGCCGTGTAGTCTGAAGAGCTTTTATGTCTGTAGGCCGTGCAGTCTGTCTATAGGCCGTGTAGTCTGAAGAGCTTTTATGTCTGTAGGCCGTGCAGTCTGTCTATAGGCCGTGTAGTCTGAAGAGCTGCTATGTCTGTAAGCCGTGTAATCTTAAGATCTGTTATGTCTGTAGGCCTTGTAGTCTGAAGAGCTGTTATGTTTGTGAGCCGTGTAGTCTGAAGAGTTGTTATGTCTGTAAGCCGTGGAGTCTGAAGAGCTGTTATGTCGGTAAGCCGTGTAGTCTGAACAGGTGTTATGTCTGTAAGCCGTGGAGTCTGAAGAGCTGTTATGCCTGTAAGCCGTGTAGTCTGATGAGCTGTTATGTCTGTAGGACGTGTAGTCCGAAGAGCTGTTATGACTGTAAGCCGTGTAGTCTGATGAGCTGTTATGTCTGTAGGACGTGTAGTCCGAAGAGCTGTTATGCCTGTAAGCCGTGTAGTCTGAACAGGTGTTATGTCTGTAAGCCGTGTTGTATGAAGAGATTTTATGTCTGTGGGCCGTGTAGTCTGAAGAGCTTTTATGTCTGTAGGCCGTGCAGTCTGTCTGTAGGCCGTGTAGTATGAAGAGCTGTTATGTCTGTGTGCAGTGTAGTCCGAAGAGCTGTTATGACTGTAAGCCGTGTAGTCTGATGAGCTGTTATGTCTGTAAGCCGTGTAGTCTGAAGAGCTGTTATGTCTGTAAGCCGGATATTGCGTTATGACACGTGATATCATTTATAACGCTGGACCAGGACATGTGATATTGGCGTCTCATTCCACTAATTTAGAGTCTTTTATGATGGTAATGGCCACGATCTAATTAAGAACTGCTCTAATTTCTTAACGCATGCAAAATGTATTAAAATATAGATAGAAAGTACAATATTTTAACGGAAATAACTTTAGAATAGAGTCAAATAACTGCAAACCTTTAACTTGTATTCGTCTCCCTATTTTTTCTCATGATTTCAATGTTGGTATGTATGGAAAGTTCAGAATTTTCTTTTCACAATAAAGATACCAAACCATAATGGAAAATGTATCACAGGAAGCTTTTGTGTTAAGAATACTTACAGTAAAAACTGTTAAACATCAATGTAGATGAGGCGACTAATGTGGTAATCACAGCATGTTTTCCTGTGTCCACTTTATTGATCTGCTGTCATTTTCCTAAAGCTTCTGTATATTTTTTAATTTTTTTTATCTAGGTACTATAGGTAGTCATTTTTTTGTTAGGATAGTGTGTTCAGATAATGAATAGTATGCCTGGAAGAAAATGTCCTTTAATTAGCCCTGTCAATGAGCACTCTTGTCTTTTTTTTCTCAGATTTTACGAAGACCAGAAATCCATAACAGACAAAGAAGCATGGGAGTTGTATGTTCTTTTAGTTCCATTTAAGAATTGGAAGTCTTTCGTGACAAAAGATCCATGTAGGTAGGAGATAGAGATATGGACATATCTGCTGTTACCCACTGCTTGTTGTTAAGGGTATCTTATAGTGGAAACCCCTGCAAAATAAGGAGTTGCCTTTGTGCCCTCTATGTGGGGACACCAAAGTGGCCAAATTTAACCTGCTGCACCATACATTTGGGATCTCTATCTTTTAGCTTTCTTGTCAACGTTTTTGTTTCCTAGCGCCTTGCTAACCGATGGATTCTGTCCTAAGTGTTATTAAGATGGCTGTTAATCACTGCTTAGCGTTCAGCATTTTGTGTAATGACAACAACTGGTTTACCCGTTGTCGGTTTACTGTGTCCTGATAGAATACTGTACTAGGTGGCTTTGATATGGTCTTTCAGTGACGTAGCACTATGAAGTCAGCCTCAGTGACGTAGCACTATGAAGTCAGCCTCAGTGACGTAGCACTATGACGTCAGCCTACGATCTGCGCTATTGCCAGGAGGGAGGTAAATACACGAACATGCCACCTCCAGGACAAATACAGGCCTACATAACACACGTCGAGTCATGGCCTTAAATGGTCCTAGCTGTTGGTATGACGTTAAACCTCCACGATACAAGTGTTAACCAGTATGACTTCAAAGTTAACAGTAAAGTACGCCTAAAAATAATGTTCAACACTGCTTGACCTTCTGTGACCTACTATCAAGCTCGGAAAAAGACTATACAGTGCCACCCATTACTGCGGTCATGTACCGCAGCTAATAAGCCTAGCAATTAGGGCTGCATGTTGTGCTCTTGTAATGAGAAACTTCTTTTCCAAGAAAGGCAATTGGAGATGTAATTGTAAAAGTTTTGGACCTAATTTTGTAAAAAAAACAAAAAAAACAATAGAAGGTCGAAGGTGATATGTATTGGGGATAGAATAGTGAGAATGAGTTCCGGGTTGTCAATATCTTTGTTTGATTCGGTGGCAAGATTTTTCAGAAGACTGTTGGCTCCCTATACGATCAAAATGTGCCCACTCTGGCGGACTGTTTTTGTATGAGGTTTAATTAATAGAAGACCTTGTCGGGACTGATATAATAATGCTTAGTCTTTATTTTTACTTTCAGATATGAGCCGTCTTTCGAGGAGATGGGCGGGGCAGCAGATCCGCTGAGCAGAAGACATCGAAGAATGCCCCCGACTCTGCAGGGCCTCCACATTTGTTACTGTAAAAAGGCAACTAATGCTGGCCTCGTGTTATTCACAGGTTCCTTTTGTTTTGTGCATGGGAAACACTGTCGTAACATAAGTTGATCTGCTGAACCCATCGCTATGTATAGCTATTACTCTTTCTCCTAACCCTTCTCTTTCTTTTTGTCGATGTATTCATCAATTTTATATACCCTCCCGAAGAAGATATCAAGGACACAACCTCGTGCTTTGCTTATTACATGTCAGACTAAGCTGTACAATGAGAGCAACGTTATTTCGATTTTCCTATTTGAAGTTTCCATTGCTTGTCGGCTGCTGAGTGACAAACTTACGACACAAGGTGCTGATAGATACCAGTTAATAATGCTGTGCATGTCTTATGATCGTCATCAATATCTCATATCTCATGGGGAAACATTCTATCACCTTGTGCGATATCATGGTCTATGGTATTAGTGTGCCTCGTAGTGTCATTATTATTTACCAGGGCCCGTATTCATGAAACCGTTCTCATGCTTAAGCATGGATTTTGTGCTCAAGCTTAATTTCTTGGTCTGTTTAAAAAATTATAAACAAATCTTATTTTGTAACAGATTTGGATTTTTTTAAAAGAGATTTGGACCCGAATACTGTTTTCAATGTTTACATTTAACATTTTGATCGTTTGACATGATATAAGTGAGTACCAAGAAAGTTGGTTTGAGCTCAGAATCCATGCTCGAGCATGAGAACGGTTTCATGAATACGGACCCTGGTTTTCAATTTGAGGACGACACATTATTTTGATTTGACATTGATTTAAAAAGCGTGTGTCATCGATGTGGCAGACGATGTATTGCCTTTCGAAACAGCTGGTTTGGTTTGGGTGCACTGAAGTATTCTCGTGTTTTCTTCATAAAAAAGTATATAAAATCTATACATATTTGGAATGTTTAAATGTTAAGGTGCATGACATCACCATTTAGTTTCTTTGCCTGTGCTCAATCGTTTTCTATTAGGTAGATCATTGTTATGAACAATTTGTGTTAGTACATTGTATAACCTACTAGTGGTGATATTAATTGACGTTATCAACATACACATGAATATATTCATTGTTATTACATTTTGATACCAGTCTTTATCAGATAACAATTTGTGTTAGTACATTGTATAACCTAGTAGTGGTGATATTAATTGACGTTATCAACATCCACGTGCATATATTCATGGTTATTACATTTTGATACTAGTCTTTATCAGATAACAATTTGATAGTATTTACTACCGCAATGATAGACATGTTCAGGCTATTAACGAGTGACAACATTAACTAACTTCTTATTGGTTAAGCGGCTCAGCGACGAAGTGACAACACTATGATGTGTTTTGTGCAAAATCATTAACTTTGCAATTATTTTTTTTTCTTTCTTTTGAAATGCATTTATATGGAATAACCAAGATTATTTTAAGGTCATACGGTATATACAAACAAAAACCAAAAACACAAAATCTATTTAATTGTTCATGAAATTCTTACAGAAATGAATAATATATGTATAACAGGACGTTGCAGAGATAAGTTTGTAGTAACCTTACAACGTTAAAACCTACATATTATATCTGTATTCTCTATACTAAACAGCGTTACTCTGCTGTCACCAGAAAAGCAATGTTCATATAGTGTACCATATACATGAATATCCTAGAGAGTGTCTCAGCCTTTATCGTGAACTCAAAAAGATATATATATAACTAGAATTATCTATATCAACTTATATTATAATGTACTAATATTGTAAACATGAACAGCAAACATGCTTACGGTTATCCGTTAATCAACATGGACTAGTATATATCAACAAGTAGTTGTATTATTATATTCTTAACATATTATAATGTGAATATTAATATAATTCACAATATTGACATAGCTTATTCATAATATTAAATGTATATAAGCCCGATATTCAACTATCTATGAGTCACTCAGTTAGCTAGTGAAGGAATATGTCTAAAACTCACTCATTACTCTAGTGAGTTCAAGAAGTAGCACAGCTTGACATGTTAACTTTCATAAGCAGTTAGAGTTATCTCCCCTTTACCAAATGACTTGCACATTGATATTCATTTCACTTTAAATTATAATATATTTATATGCTGATTTATACAAATGCATGCAGGAGAGAACTGATATAGACATAGCCTGTTGTTCGATCCAATTCATACAACATCATGAATAAAATTTGTTGAAATGAAATAAGTTGGATTTCCTGCATCCCTTTTAATAAGAAGTATTTCTTTCGCGTCTTCGAGATATTTACTCCATTCATAGTAGGGAGTAGTAGGCATAGTGAATTATATATAGAGAGCAAAATACATGGTCATTTTATCTCATCATCAGTATAAGTATTAATACCAACATGTGTAAATATACTAATCAAATAAATCGCATATTTCAATACAACAGTAACACCACTCAGCGACACTAATTTATAAAATAACACAAACAGCAGGTTTTTTTTTGTCTTATCAAATTTGATTTAAGGATGTACACCTCTGAGAAGTCTAAAAATTCCTGTATTAAACTTTTTTTCTTATATTGATTTTTGGAAAAAGGAGTTAATGGCATAGTAGAAAATGCAAAATAAACTATATGTCGGTGTGTTCGTTTTTGTGCTATGATCGGTCAAAGATACCAATTTAACACAACACGTGATTTAAGGTGATTTTTTGGGTTTTGACCATTTGCAGAAAAAATTCATACAATTTCTTCCAAGTGTGTTATTAGATATGTATGAAAGTTTGTAGAATTGATAAAAATATCTTTTTCTTTTAAATAATGGAAGTAAAATGTCTTAATCTTATTTTTTTAACTCAGAAAGCCGATTTTAGTTACCCCTACCCCCTATTTTTTAATGAAAAAATACTCATTTTTTTACCGTTGTGTGCAGATTAAACGCTTGATATAAAAAGTTCTGCTATTAAACTTTTTTTAATAGTTAATGAATTAAAAGAAAATGTGTTTCTCTTTCTAAAACATCCACAAAAATGGGGGGTCCGTGTGCTTTTTTTTTTGTCCCATTATCATTTGTGTTATTTTTTACCTTTTTCGGGGTCAAAAATCAAAAGTGCTTTAGTTCAACTAAATATGTAAAAAAACCTATCAATAACGAATAATATTCTAGTTTGTTGCATATTATTTTTATCATATTAAACAATATAAAGTTGAAGTGTCAAAAAAGGTGAAATTTTGGCCTTTTTTGAAGCGCAAGAAATACACATAAAGACACATTTTCAAAATGGCCGCCGAATTGTTTTTTTGTTTAAATACTTGTAAAAATAGTTCTACAAACAACAGGCATCTTGTTTTTTGGCATATTTTTCAGATGCGTATTTGTTAATAAACTTGATCATAATTTGTTAAATATTACAAAAACCTGTTACACCAGATCAAAACGAGACTTGAACGTGATTGAAACCTCAGAAGAGCACATCCTTAAGCGCTATTGCTTCATATTTGAGGTTAGAAATGACCATTGCAGCACAAACATAATATTTTGTAGTACAAAATAAATTAACATATTTCTTAATCATGCGCTGATTGGTTGAGTGACATGTTCTGCGTAGTTAATCTTGAAACAACAAATACTTCCCTGATTTTTACTTTATCATACTGTGGGTGAAGAGCAGCTACAGAAGGATGGCGAGCAAAAAGCCGAACAAACTTTCAACGATAAAACAACTCTGTCGACAGGTAATTATGAGAAGACACTTGTCTCATACCTGTGTATAAATAATGAAAGTGTGTTGTAAACGACATAGCTGTTTAATAACCACATTTGAATGTTTTGACTGTTACATTTATATGGAACTTGAATATATTTTTTGGATCTGCTGGTTTCTCTTCCTGTTATCATAAAAGTGTATCCTTAAATATAAATTATGCTCAGTTTTAATGTAACCCTAACCCCTAACCCTATGTTAGTTTTATATAATATTTCATCAACTGCGAGTGTCGTAGCTTGGTTATACATGCGTGATGCTATCCTCGTCTTTGCATCTGTTCAGCTTACAAAATTAAGTTCATGTTAGAGTAGGACAGCACACAACTTCATATAATTGATTCGGAATATTTGATACATTGTCTTATTTAAGCATTCTCGTTATGACTTTATATAAACGGTTGAATTAAATACAAGCATGGTATTACGCCGAAACGAATAACACTAAGCAGTCAACTTTAAAAATAACAGGGCTCTATATAAACAATGACGTTCACATTGTACTTCCGACACGCGGTCACATAAAGGTAAATAAGGACGTTAGTGTTTTATTTCCGACGCGCGGTCATATAAAGATACTGGAATGGGGTATTCCCTACATATCAGTTATTGTCTTCCTAATTCGATGGTGTGATTTTTATTTTAAAAATTCTGTAAGAAGGAAAATTATGAGGGTTTGAATAAAAATGTTTTACTGATATAGAATACCCCAAATAACTGTAAAAACAAATCAACCCTTTATCAAGTAGCTACACAAACACGTAGAAACGTCAAACGGTTTTTTTCAATTCAGTTTATATCAATAATTGCCGATCGTAATTCCAAAAAATAAAATGAATAACAATATAGATGTTTCATTTTGACAGCGCTTTTAGAATGTTGACTTAGTGTTATAAATACATATTTGTATACAGTAATTTTATTTTGACGTAGTGTTATAAACACACTTTTGTATACAATATGTTGACGTTGTGTTATAAACACAATTTTGTATATAGTATGTTGACGTAGTGTTATAAACACACTTTTGTATACAGTATGTTGACGTTGTGTTATACACACACTTTTGCATATAGTATGTTGACGTAGTGTTATAAACACACTTTTGTGTACAGTATGTTGACGTAGTGTTATACACACACTTTTGTATACAGTATGTTGACGTAGTGGTATACACACACTTTTGTATATAGTATGTTGACGTAGTGTTATAAACACACTTTTGTGTACAGTATGTTGACGTAGTGTTATACACACACTTTTGTATACAGTATGTTGACGTAGTGGTATACACACACTTTTGTATATAGTATGTTGACGTAGTGTTATACACACACTTTTGTATACAGTATGTTGACGTAGTGGTATACACACACTTTTGTATATAGTATGTTGACGTAGTGTTATACACACACTTTTGCATATAGTATGTTGACGTAGTGTTATAAACACACTTTTGTATACAATATGTTGATGTTGTGTTATAAACACAATTTTGTATATAGTATGTTGACGTAGTGTTATAAACACTCTTTTGTATACAGTATGTTGACGTGGTGTTATAAACACAATTTTGTATACAGTATGTTGACGTAGTGTTATAATCACACTTTTGTATACAGTATGTTGACGTAGTGTTATACACAAACTTTTGCCTATAGTATGTTGACGTAGTGTTATACACACACTTTTGCATATAGTATGTTGACGTAGTGTTATAAACACACTTTTGTGTACAGTATGTTGACGTAGTGTTATACACACACTTTTGTATACAGTATGTTGACGTAGTGGTATACACACACTTTTGTATATAGTATGTTGACGTAGTGTTATACACACACTTTTGCATATAGTATGTTGACGTAGTGTTATACACACACTTTTGTATACAGTATGTTGACGTAGTGGTATACACACACTTTTGTATATAGTATGTTGACGTAGTGTTATACACACACTTTTGCATATAGTATGTTGACGTAGTGTTATACACACACTTTTGCATATAGTATGTTGACGTAGTGTTATACACACACTTTTGCATATAGTATGTTGACGTAGTGTTATAAACACACTTTTGTGTACAGTATGTTGACGTAGTGTTATACACACACTTTTGTATACAGTATGTTGACGTAGTGTTATACAAACACTTTTGTATACAGTATGTTGACGCAGTGTTATAAACACACTTTTGTATATTGCATGTTGACGTGGTGTTATGAATACACTTTTGTATACAGTATGCTGACGTAGTGTTATAAACACACTT